GCTACTTGAAGGAATTACTGAACGCAAATGGTCTCGACAACAAAACTGTGACTGAATATATTGAGCTTACATCGTTATGTATGAAACAAAATTGTTTTCAATTTAATAACAACTTTTTGAACAGCGGGAAGGTACAGCAATGGGTAATCCATTGTCTCCATTTTTGGCTAATTTATTCATGAGCAGGTTTGAAGTGGAGGCTAAGAGTCAGTTTGAGTATTTTCCAAGAGTTTGGTTTAGGTATGTGGATGATATTTTGCTGTTTTTGACACACATTCAGACACCATAGATAATTTTATTTCTAAGTTAAATAATCGTTTTCCTTCCATTAAATTTACGCATGAAATTGAGAACAACGACAGATTACCATTTCTAGATGTATTAGTTATTAGAAATGCTAATAATTGCCTGGAATTTGATATCTATAGGAAAAATACGACCACACGCAGATATATTCCTAATGAATCACATCATAGTGTTGAACATAAAATGGCTAGTTTAAATTTCTTAGTTCATAGATTACTTAGTTTCCCACTTTCCAACGAAAGATATGAAATAGATTACATTAGGAATGTAGCTGAGTGTAATGGATATTCTCCTTCACTAGTTGATAAATTAATTAGAAAACGTAGGTATAGGTTAATGATTTCTGAAAATTCGACTTTTCAAGTGGAGAAAGATACGTCTAAATATTTTTCGATACCGTTTGATAGAAAGTTATCCCGTGGTCTAAAAGGAATTTTTAAGAATGTCAATTATAAACTTGTGTATAGTGCTAATAATAAATTACAACAATTATTAGGTAATCCAAAGGATAAAACATCTCCACTGGAAAGGTCGGGTATTTATGAAATTTCTTGTAAAGATTGTAATCAGAAATATGTTGGGCAAACTAGAAGATCAATATTAACTAGATTTAAAGAACATTTAGCTCAGATAAGATATGGTAGACCGGATAAATCTTGCGTTGCCGAACATATTGTTGATAAAGAACATTGTATAGATCTTAATAATTTAAAATTAATTAAACAAGTCTCAAATTACAGGCAATTAGATGCATATGAAAGCATCAGAATTAATAAATGTAAAGATAGTATGAACAGAGACAACGGTCCAATTCCTTCAAGTTCTTTGTTCCTACTACTCTAGTGGCGGAAATCTAACTGTTACGCTCAGTTGGTTCTGACTCGGTTGGCTAGTTTTTGCCACGCCCACTCGGTGCCCACTGGGCGAGTATATAAACGCTCAACTTGTAGATTGTACTTTAGTTTATAATCATCTGCTGATGATGCTAACATGGTTAGCGAAACGCGCGTCCAGTGTAAAAGTAAAAGTGTTTTGGTGTATTGTGGTGATTTAGTGTTTTTATTTTAAATAACCATCTACCTTTGCAAAAATTACCCTTTCCAACTAAACATTTATTATATACATTAGTGCGAAGAAATCCAATATCGTCGATATGGAAAAAGTGGAAGATATGCAAAAAGTTTTATATAAATGTTGCATGGATTATAAAGGTGCATATTATCAAAATATTTATTTAAATATTGTATTTGACGTAACTGTGTGTGGGAAAGTCACAATTACGCTAAATGAAGGACAGTTTTTTTTATTATTTTTTCCAGAAAAAAAACCGGTTTAAGAGGTAAAAGTAAAAAAGTTTCATAATAAATCTAAATTTATCATATTTCAAAGGAGTTGCTTAAGTTTTTATTTGAATTTAGTTAACAAGAATTCTTATTTCATTTTCACCCAACGTCTATACCGGGTGTTTTTCAAAATGGCTTCCCCTATAACTTTTTTTATTTTTTCAGATGAAAAAATGAAATTTGGTATGTTAGTATATGACATAAATCAGGTTCGATTCAACTTCAATAATTTAGTTTCCGTCAAATTCTGCATTCTATGTAAAAATATTCAACTTGACTTTGAAAATATTTGAATCGCTTGTATATTGACAAACATATTTTTAAAACAAAGGTTAACAACATTGCCTGTATATTCTATAAAAAAAGACTGTCTTAAAAACCACAAACCAGAAACCTGATATGCTAGTGACTACTTTAACGTCATTACTGGTCGCAGCGACCGCTTGATTTGTGTGTTTTTTATCATTTGATTTAAATGGCCTAGCTGTTGGTTGGTCGCTGCGACCTAGTCGTCAGTGCGTTTCAGCTCTTATGCCGCGACCGCACATTTGGCATTTGGCGATTTCCGAGCGCTCGTTAACGAGGCTTCACCTAAGCCCTCGTTCTTCATCTTTACTCGCACGAGTATTTTATTATAGTGGTTACATTAGATGCGCGTTCATGGTGTCCTGTCTGTTGAGTTTGTCAAAACAAGCGCAACTACTTTGATACTGTGTGAGAATATAATGTTAAAATAACTACTCATGAAAATAAGAAACTGTTGGGTAAATGATTTATATGCAAGAAGAGGAGAAGAAAATGAATATGTAAAACATTTGGTGAATTAAGACTGCAACCAGTCAAATTTTTTGAATATTTTAGAGTATCTCCATCAACATTAATATATCCCAAATAAAATTAAACCTGGTATTCAAAAATATTCAAATTTTTCGGGAATGTAATGGGATCAGAGAGAAAAAATCGAACGCTCGGACGTGCACTCTAAACCGCTTGAACTTGCAAAGCCTATTGTTAGTACCTAATTATAGCCAACTATATAGGGTGGCTTGAATTCGACGCTCATCATTGGGATTTCAGAAACCGTAAAAGATATAAAGGATCGGTTAAATGGAGGCAAAGTTGCGCAATTTGATGCTCAATAAAATGCCGTATTGTATTTTGAAAAATTCCGAATACTTCCGAATATATTCGAAAAAAAAAACGGAATTTTCAATATTGTTTTCTATTGTTTCCTGGCTTTATTTGTTAAGATAACTTAAACTGAAAAACACATTTTCATGACCACTTTTCCTGCTCTATAACTCTGTGTGATTAAATATTGACTCTGACGTTTCGGCTTCTGGTGACCATCATCAACTTAATTTTTTTAAATACGGACCTAATTTTTTTATTCAATTTAATTAAATCCTTTCATCACTCTTAAAACACTATATATAGTCAATTTGATATTTGCCGACGTTTAGTACAGAAAATTCCATCACCAGTAAATTTTATGCAAAAAAAAATAAAAAATAAAAATGCAATACGGCATTTTATTGAGCATCAAATTGCGCAATTTTGCCTCCATTTCACCGATCCTGTATCTCTTACGGTTTCCGAAATCCCAATGATGAGCGTCGAATTCGAGCCACCCTGTACATGTATTACGCTCAGTTTTTATTTTTATGATTTTAGTCATAGATTTTGTTGTTAATTTTTTTCAGAAATAATGGAGTGACCATTTCATTTTTATCAAAACCCCGCGAGCTTTTGAGCTACGAATTTTTTTAAATAAGCATCTAAAAGGTCTTTTCAGGCACTTTAGAAACGGTCATATTCATTTTCTTTGAAAAATGTATTCTTTCGCTACTATTTTACGGTAAAAGGTTGTAATTTAGTTTTCGAAAAAATAAAAAATCACTTTTACAGAGTGATAACTCAGCTTACACTACGGTAATCAACAAAAAATGTATCGTTTAGCTATTCCAAAAGTTTCATTTTTGCTTTATGAGTTTTGCGATAAAACACAAGGTTTTCGAGTTATTTATAAAAAATGACAGAAAAATATGAAATTTTTAGATGAAAAATCTACATTTATAATCCTAAATAACTCGGAAAATATTAATTTTCTGAAAAAATGTTATAGAACATTTTTTGCTTAGAATTCATCCCTTTATTGATTTTTGCAATTTAAATGGGTGATTTATTTATCACCCCCGAGAAGAGGTGGTACTCACCCCCAGGGTGAAAACACATATGTAACTTTTCTTCTTACATACATATATCTCTATTCACTGTTGAAATTTCACGTCAATCGGTGCAGGTGTTCAGAATTTGGACCCTAAAGCCCTCCCTTACGGGTACTATTAATGGATCGCCTTTTCGTTACAGCCATCTGATATTCTATTAAGACTATTTTAGATAAGATAAATTCTAAATATAATATTTTTGTATATTAATCTGGAAATAATTTCTTCATTTCTGATAATTTTATGACTAAATTAATTAAATATTCTGATAGTAATTGAAAAAATATTTGTGACCTTCCTTAGAAAAAAGTGTTAATCGATGACTATCTCATGAATGAATGAAGGTTGAATTATTAAGTTCTTACCATATTTAGGTTATTTATAATTCACTACTATTGAAGTTCCTGTTTCAGTGTTTTTTATGAAAATATTACTCAGTACTAATATTGTAAAATTATTTATTACTCCTATTATTTACTACTCGACAATTTATCTTTGGAGAGCATTCCACGAGAATGAATGTGAATAAATGAGCAAATGTCTAGAATTTATAATTAGTGCAAAGAGAGATTGGCAAATTAATCAGTTACTTTTTTAAATTTCATTGGGGGTTTTCTGCCTTTTCCTATTATTTCCAAAAAGAGATATTTTGAGAACATTTAGAACATGAAGAAAAAAATTGAGAACAAATATGTATTCAGAACACATTATGCTTCTCTCTCGGAATATGTAAATTGTAGAGTAACTACCAACACTACATAAAAGGGCAAATCAGTAGCTAAATCTATAAAATTACTGAGGAATCCCCAAACATATCATATTTTTTCCAGTATTATCACCCTGTTGCTTCCTAAATGTAAAAAATAGGAAACGTTTTCGTTTGTGATTATAAATGTCCATACATGCTCTTATAATGTTCTCATACAATAATTCTGAACATTCAAGAATGTTCACAAACAATCTCGTGTCACAAATGGGAACATTCCCTCTATTGCAACACTAATCAGTACTCAGGACTGTGGAGAGTTTTTAAGCTATAATAATCTGTAAATATGTATACAAAACTTAAAGATATATATATTTTTGTAATTTGTATTTTTAAAAACTTAAATTTATCACTTACTTGAATAGAAGTTAAAATAGCGGAAACATCATAAGTAGGACTCCACCTATTTTGTAATATGTCTAAACATATTCCTCCGTCCGCATAAACGTTAGGATGAAACATATGACTAACGAAACGAACAGTTGGTGGTTTATTTGGATATTCCTCTGTAAATTCAATAGTCAACTTAAAAGTGCCATCTTCGAATGGTGTATCGTGTGGCCCAAATATAACAGCATTCCATATCATAATGTTATTGTCTGTGGGAGCCCCACTTACACCAGTAGGAGGATCTTCTTGCAACCTAGAGGAAGCCATTATGAAAAACAATTTATATATATTACGTTCTTATAAAACATTATTAAAACAATTGTTGTATACTCTGTTTTAAACTACATAGTGCAGATGTCATTCAGAGTTTATTAGTTCTGTTATAAGTGTTACGTTTACATACATATTTTTCTATTATAATGAGGTGAATGATTATTTAGTGTATCAAATAGTTAAAGAGTTTTCCATATTTTTTAGAAAGCACCTACACCAAACACAATGGTTTTAAACAAATGTTTAAAACATCACAACCCTAATAAAAATATTAATGGAACCTAAATATATATAATATAAAATTTTCACCAGATTATTTTATGCATTATGCTACTTTGTCTTTGTGGATCAAGATAGTGATCTCATTTCAGTAGGTACATTCTTAAAGATCTTTCATATTGCATTATTTATATTATCACTATTTCTTAAGAGATGAAATTACTTTAGATATTATCATACCGAATAATATTTTAATTAGTAAAGTGTTTTTGCGTAGTACATGAAGGCTAATATTGACAAAAATCAATTTAAAAACAAAGTTAAAATTATATTACCGTTTGAAATCTCTCATAAGGCGTCGACGTGCAGGAGTGGACATTTTATTTAGTTAATTTGATTAATTTCTAAAAAAGAAACTTAAAAATGAATCGAATATAGAAGTACGGTACAGGAAACACAGCAAATTTATCTTATTTTTGATATTATATATGTCTGAATCACACAATAGAACTTTACTTGCATGACATAAAGAAAAAGACGTACAATAAACAAAAATAGCACTAGAATTTGACAGAGAACAGTGTGTTTCATTTAGTGATTTTTGGATTTGTTAAAAAAGTTACTAGCTAAAGAAATAAAGTACCACAGAATAAAAATATAGAATCTGCTAAGCAACAGTAATCAGGGTTGGACGTATAAAAATATAATGTACACAATAATTATATTTTACGTGCAAATACATTAACATTTTTTTTATTAATCTTAATATTTCGAAAACGTAGAGCATTAATAATCATGGGGATAGGGTAAAGACCAGTTAGTTATTCTATGGTGAAGACTCTGATATAAAGTAAAAAGAAATAAGAGAAATGTATTTTTTTCACTTTTTTTTAGCGTTTATTATTTAATCTATGGGTAATGGTGTGGATCCGGTGGCTGACCTTGAAACGAGTTTTTGCTGCATATAGTCACTGACACTACGCATGCGCACATCTTCGATGTTGCCAGATTGGGAGTTATTTTGGAATTATTTTCAGTAGAAAACAAATATGTGCTTTTCAGTGTTTTTTTGTCAATATATACCGTATGATCGAAAAAACGGCGCCCAGTTGGCTGGGAAATGACGATTGAGGACATTTCCATAAAATGACAGCTTCATTTCATAGTCATTGCTGACGCTATTTTTTTTTCAATCATAGTAGGCGGTATATTATTGTTGATATATTTGTGATATATATCAGGGGGGTGACAGTAAACCGGAAAATTGGAAACAGTTCTGGCGCGGTCTTACCCAGGCAGAAAGCATGGCCTTCTAGACTGTCCTAGACAAAAATCTGAATATTTCTATATGATTTCTGCCAATTTCAGTTACGGAACATTTTTATGCACGTCGGCGTCCTCTTCTTTTGTCTGTGTGTCAGCCATGTGTCAACTCCCGAGGCCTCTGGCAAGGTCGGGCGCCATTTTATTTTTTTGCCGTTTTAGATTTGATTGGAAGTTTGTTTATGATATTTCGGCTGAAATTTATAAGTACAAAGATGTTTTTTGATATAAAGTTCCTTGTTAACACTTTAATAAAGTATATATGGTATTAATTACATGAAGAAAATGATGAAATCGACGTTTCTGCGTGTAGTAGGTATGAGCCATATTATATGTAAAAATAGGTAATATATTAACTGTTTTTATATTTTTTTAGCTTTAGATCCAAGGATCTTGGGATATTCTTTACCAAGGATTTTTCCGTATCTCTACTTTAAAGACTGATCGGTGATTTTGAGCAATTGAAAGCAAGTTGCACAAGGTAAATTATGATTATTGAACTATTATTAGCTTACATTAATTATCTACAAGATGAACAGAAATGCGTAATTACATATCACATAGGTACCTATTATGTATTTTCATAGCAATAATGCTATGTATGTAGATTATTTTTAAAATACAAATGAGGTATTAGATGTATATGTATCATATTTTTTATTCATTTTATTTTCATTCAAGTCCTAATATAGTGTTAAGATGAAGACATAACAAATATTATAAGAAAGATCTTAATATAAATCCCAAACTAAGTCTTAATTTAGTCTTGTATTTCTATTATTATTATTATTCTTATAAAACTAATAAGATCAAAACTCAACCTTCACCATATTGTCAAGATTTGGCATTATAGGAAACAAGAAATTACAGTAAATTAAGAAAAGAATATCAAAGTACACGATATTAAATACTGTAATATATTCTACGATACAAACCATCTCTCCTTCTAAAGAGAAAAAGATAAAACATAAAGCTTATTTTAGTCTTATCAACACACTCTTCGATAAAATCCACTAACTTGATATTTTTAAGAAATTATGATACAAACATTAATTATAATCAAAGTATTTTATATTAGTAACATTATATAATAGGTAAAATGTTACCTCTATCTCCGATTGACGTTTATTGTTCTATAATAAGACCCGTCATGGTAGTACTTCAAAATATCAATACATATAACAAAACTATTGTTGCCTGTAAATAACTAAAAATTAAATAACTTGAAAGAAATAAAATAATTCTAATAAGTTTAAAACCATTAAGAAAAAAATCCGTTAATGATAAATTTTAATTCTAATGTAAATATATAAATAAATGTTATTATTATTACAATTTTATATATTCATAATACTTTCATTTCACAATCTTCATTATCCTTCTTACCTTAACCCTTAACTGGTCCGGCGTTGTCTGACAGACTACGCCAAATAATTAACTCATTCTCATTAGTTACTGGGACCGCCTACAGGATTGGCGTTCTAGCTAATCCTCCCCCTCACGGTCAACAACTGATAGTCATATTTATGACCAAACTGGATTAGTTTTTTAGAAGTTCTGGCAGAAGTTACTTAAGTCGTAGTCTCTCAGACGACGCCGGACCGTTTGTGTAAGATTTTGTGTGTGACAAACTTTTGTAAAATATGGCCGGGCCTTCGAAAAATGTGCGTTTAGGAGACTCTAGTTATGAAGAAACTCTATTAAAATGATATGATGAAGACTGTGACAGTGACAATATGACAATCTGCCAGACAAATGCGTTTGACAATGTCAAATATTCCACGAGAAATACGCTTTACAATTGGTAGAATACTTGCAATTCCTGTACAACCAGAAGATGCCCACGGAGATATTTTTATCCTAGAGTTCTTATCCTAGTCAAAGACAATGCTATGTCCTAGTTAATTATTTTTAATGCCTAGAATGTACGAATCCATTGTGTAAAACATGTTAGGAAAACAATGAAATTTGCCTCATGCTGTAACTAAAGACTTTTCCGTTAACTCCAGTTTTATAACTTATTTTTTTACATAATAGTATTAAAAACTTATTTCTATATTGCAATGACTGTTAGTAATTTGTTTTTATTTTTAAAACTTAATAAAAATCTATATTGCTTTTTTTTCCAAATTTATATGTATGCTATTTTATTTTGTACTATATTTTCTGAAAGTTTATATTAATTGTACCCATTTTTATCTAGATTAGTTTAATAATACATAATATAACATATAATGAAATAAAAATTTGATATTTTTTAGTTTTTGTGTGTTTTTTTAACTTTTTAGAAGGCGTAGTCCCACAGACTACGCCGGACCGTTTATAATACATATCTATTACCGGACCAGTTAAGGGTTAATTTTGGATATCAAGATAAATCTGAAATTATAAAATTAATTATAGAATTTGTATTATCACTGACTAACAAATAATTCGAAAATAAACTGCAATTTGGCAACATCGACGATGTGCGCTTGCGTAGTATCGATGATCAAAAGCAGCAAATATGGGCTTCAAGGTCAGCCACCGGATCCACACCTTTACCAATCTATGTATTTTTCCTATGGAGTGTAGAAGTAATTTTGGTAAAGATGTGGATCCGGTGGCTGACCTTGAAGCCCATATTTGTTGCATTTGATCATCGATACTACACAAGCGCACATCGTCGATGTTGCCAAATTGCAGTTTATTTTGGAATTATTTGCAGTTGAAATTTTTTTTTGACTGTTAATTGCTGTTAATCAATAATAATACAAATTCTATAATTAATTTTATCATTTCAGATTTATCTTGATGTTCAAAATTAAGGTAAGAAGGATAATGAAGATTGTGAAATGAAAATATTATGAATATATAAAATTCTAATAATAATAACATTTATTATATATTTACATTAGAATTAAAAATTATCATGTACGGATTTTTTTCTTAATGGTTTTAAACTTATTAGAATTATTTTATTTCTTTCAAGTTATCTAATTTCTAGTTATTTACAGGCAACAATAGTTTTGATTATATGTATTGATGTTTTGAAATACTACCATGACGAGTCTTATAGAACAATACACGTCAATGGGAGATAGAGGTAACATCTTACCTATAATGTTACTAATATAATATACTTTGATTATAATGTTTGTATCATAATTTCTTAAAAATATCAAGTTAGTGGATTAATAGCAATTTTAGACATATATTTTATCGAAGAGTGTGTTGATAAGACTAAAATAAGCTGAATAAGCTTTATGTTTTATCTTTTTCTCTTTAGAAGGGAGATGGTTTGTGTCGTAGAATACATTACAGCATTTAATATCGTGTACTTTGATATTCTTTTCTTAATTAACTGTAATTTCTTGTTACCTATAATGCCAAATCTTGACAATATGGTGAAGGTTGAGTTTTGATCTTATTAGTTTTATAGCTGTGTTTATACAAGACCAAATTAAGATTAGTTTGTAATTAGTTTGTGATTTAAATTAACATCTTTCTTATAATATTTTTTGTCTTAATCTTAATACTATATTATTCTTTGTCTGGAAAATAAATGTTAAAATATCTTAATTTTGCATATCCTATTCCATCCTTCCATTAGGAAAAATATGGTTTATAAATCATATTATGCTAAGAAAATCACATAAATTAGGTGTAAAGAGTAAAAGAAATCTTAAGGTAGCAGAAAAATTAATGCAATATATGTATAAGCAGAATTAAACAAGGTAACTGTAAATGTTGCTGAAGCTGATCCATCCTCCATAGTTTTGATGGAATGTTAAAAAACTATTAGGAACATGACATGGAGCTACAGCATTTAAAAATTAAAAAAAGAAAAAACTTGGACACATCCCTTTTAATTCCCGAATTTTAATAAAGCACTTTTTAAACATAGCATTATAATCTAGAGCAATTAGATTAATTATAGGAATCTAGAATTGTATTTCTATTTAATTTTATTGACTATGAAAATACATAATAAGCGTTCACGTTTCACGTGTTGTGCGAAATATTAAAATAATAATATAAATAATATACCGCGTACTATGATTGAAAAAAACAGCGTCAGCGATAACTATGAAATGAAGATCGTTGTCATTTTACATGGGAAATGTCCTCAATCGTCATTTCCCAGCCAACTGGACGCCGTTTTTTCGATCATACAGTATATATTGACAAAAAACACTGAAAAGCACATATTTGTTTTCTACTGAAAATAATTCCAAAATAACT